CCCCAAAACCCCAAAACCCCAAAACCCCAAAACCCCAAAACCCCAAAACCCCAAGTAAATAGACTTACCTTGAGTAATAGCAAATTAAAAATAAAGATGAAGAAAAAATTATGTCTAACGGTTCTAATCTTGCTCTGTATAATCTCAGGGCTTGTAAACACAAATCAATGATCTTCATCGGTTGATACTATGCTTGGAGGATTTTCTTTGAAGTTTTATTACAATGACATAAACAGAAAGGTGACTAATATTGTTCCTTCAAGCGATCTAAGCAATATTTATATAGCCTCTAAAGCAGCAGTGGATAATCCATCCACTTCGTTCACTGAGACCAACATTGAAAAGAGACTCGCTGATTTTACACTTGTGTGGACCATTTCTCTTCCTTTTGAAATCAGGTTAAATTCAATCGTGCTTGACTCGAGTGACATATACTTATATTTTTCTATGTATCATCCCTCTGGTGGCCTTATTGGCAAGATATCAACTTCAAACGGGAGCATTGTGAGTGCTTATGAGACAGACGCAAATCTTGTGGAATGTAAGTAACTTACTCACAGGCATTATATTAGAATTTTCAATGAAACTTTTTCTCATACAATTGATTTTATCTTATTTCGAGACAAAGCTGCGCATAAGTTTTAACTCATTAATAAAATTTTGAGCATCCAAGCACATTTCTCAAAATTTAGCATCAGGCTAGACCTATCATTAAAAATAATTTGAAAAATATGTTAGATGAATGGATAGCACCAAAAAGTCTACATTTTTAAAGGCTGTGTATCCCCAAACATCAATTCTAAGCCACCCGATGATTACGATAATGATGTCGTTATTCATCAAATCTATTCTGAGATTGATATAGGTCAAAAATTAACCTTATCTCCAAATGAAATGAACCTGTACTTGGGATGAAAAAAGTCAGGAGGAGAAATCACTATAACTGAGATTACTACATCTGATCTTTCTATTAGCCACTCTTCCAAATTTTCAGTCGATGCACTTCTTTCATTGGAATCTTACACCAAGAACCAGACTTATAGGAGTGTGATTGTTGGTACCTTTAAGTCTATTGGTGAAATAGTCGCTCATTACTCATACAGTTTCCCTTCTTCAAGTGTTAATTTTGGAATAAAGATAGGGTGAACCAGCGCTTCCACAAATATGAGGCCAGCTATTACTGCTGTTATGGAGTCCACAGATCTTTTTGCAATTGGGTGTATTAATGATGGTACACAGGAGACACTTCTTCTGGCAGGACTTACCAATGGAACTTATGCCGGCAATTATGCTGTGAGAAATACTGGGCATGGATCTTCTAATAGAAATATTATTGGAATTGGACAACTTGGGGATACAGACAAAATTTATATGATGAGTAGCTACACTTCAGAAACTCTATTATGGATCTATGACATATCCTCTAAGACTTTCTCTACAGCTTATAGTGGGTCTCGGGAGATGACAGCCATTAGTGCCAAATTTGGATATTTCATCATGGCTACTCATGATGCAACTGAGAATGTTCCATATCTATATAAGATTGCTTATGATGACACATACATTACTAAGGAGGTATTATCAAACGCTGATTCATTGATGGATACTTCTCAAACCCCAACTACGGTCTCGGTGTCTTCAGTCACAATAACTCCTGAGACTTCTTTGAGAACATTGACGTTGGTGAGTCTTTCTTCAACAACAAACACTGTCATCCAAATAAATATGATATCCTCATCTCTGTTGAATACGAGAAATAGTTCTTATCAGACTATCTACATACCTGCTGGAGGCAAGAACACCGTGAATTTGACTTCTCCATGTTTGTCAACTTCTGGATATACTTTAAGTGCCAGTTTGACAGCCAACCAAAACGGAGAAAGCTCTCCATCTTGGATAAGTTTGAAAGATGACTTTTCAGCAATTATTGCTGATGCACCTGAGATTACTAACTCTCAGAGTACCTTCTATCTTGGGATCAGCTTCAGTTATTCTTCCTATGTGTTTACACAGTACAGCACAATCAGTTTGTTTGAATGTGGCATTTCTAACTGTAATGGCTGAGAATACGACACAAAAGATACCAAGTGCACTCAATGTAAAGATGGATACAAATTGTCACAAGATGGTAAATCATGAGATGAAGAGTTGCTCCCGACTCAAGCCCTTGCCATAACCACCACTGTGGTAATTGCAGCTTCAGCAAGCATCGGAGCTGCAAGCTCAATCATATCTTCAGGTTCAGGCTCTAGTTCTATATGGGTAGTCATGAATCAGTATCAGCTGTATCTTTTGTTCCCATTGCTTCAAACTTATTTGCCAGGTGACTTCGTATTTTACCTAACAGAATTCGAACTCTTCAACTTTGATTTTAAGTTTCTAGAAAAGGCCAAAATTCCAGGGATAGAGTCCTTGGTTGATGATCTGGACTACAGCGTCCCAAGCTCCATTTTCAGCCAGAATGGGTTCAGTTCTGGAAGCTTCGTTGTGAATCAGTTTCAGTTCTTCAAAGCCATCGGTATTCTCGGAATTTTCAATTTCGTATTTATTGGAGTTTATTATTTGATTCCCAAACTCAAAAACAAAGAATGATCGAAGAAAATATATGGATGGTTGATTCCATTCTTCTACTTTGCTGCGTACATAAGGATGGTAATCGAAGCGTTCTTGTTTGCATTCATCAGCTGTTTGCTTGAGATCACCACCTTCTCATCCCTGATTAAGCAACCAGTGTCTTTCTGCTTTTCTTTGGTGTTTGTCGGTTGATTTGTCAGTCTTCCATTTCTAATTTATCACCACTTTAAGAAATATAATGAGAATGGAGAAGTCAAAGAGTTATCGAAGTTGTCAGAATTTTACGAAGGATATGCAAATGGCAAAAAGAACAAACTGTACACAATCGTGTTCTTAACGAGAAGGATCGCCACTGCAGTCTGTCTGGTCTGTATGAGGAACACTCCTGCTTCAATGATATGCTTGATCTTCTTCGTTATCCAGCTGCTGCATTTTCAATACTTGATATTTAACAGACCGTTCAAGTCAAAGAAAGACAACATCATCGAAGTCTTGAACGAGGTTGTGTTTCTGACCCTGACACTGATCATCACATTATTCCAGAAAGAATCTGACTGGAAGGAAGGGATGGCCACAGCCCTAATTATGATAGTGATGATAAATGGATTAATGGTATCTTTTATCATCATGGTTGACAGCTGCATCAACATATCCAAAACAATCAAGATATGTAAGAGTAGACAGAATAGAGTCGAGACTTTAGCCAAAAACAGACTTCAAAGCAGGAATAATGCTAAAGAAGATGTATCTGCTAAAACTAAGGTTGGTGTCCTACCTCAAAGGTAAGTTTTATCCTTTTTAAATATTTTAAACTACGAGACTTACCATTTTTGAATAGAAAACAAACCATAGATCAAAACTCAGAAAGAATGGAGAAATCCTACCACGAAGATCCTAGTCTATCTATCTCAAGAACTCCTAATGCGACCAAGATGTACATCAACGAACAAATAAACAATGAGTTCGAAGACTAACCCACCCACCTACCACAGATAATTCTTTAATTCCAATTGGCCCATACCATCACGGGGTTTTGGGGTTTTGGGGTTTTGGGG